ATATGATTTGCTCAGCAATAGATTTCTGGTTCTGAATTGTTACCCTATGGATGACAACCGACCTAGTCACTTTCAAAGTTTTCAACCTCTGCCAAATCGTCAGTTCTACTTTCAAGGGATCAATCTCAAGGCTCTATATGGAGAAATAATCTAATGTATGTTGACGATTCTATTGCAAGATTATATAGAGGTTGGCCCTCAAAGTCACTCCTTAGAATGGGATCACAAGCTGTCTCAATTTTCAATAGTTGTAAAAGCTACGCTGCGAGTCAATTTGAACAATATCTTCTTGACAACAAAGAAAAGTAGATTTCCCATTACAATCATAAAATAAGAGTCTTTGCTGTAAATATATGCTTCTTTTCTAGCAAAATGGTGGATAAATCAAAAGGAGACGAAAGGCTTCGTATAAGTCGAGATTGAAGAGGAATTGCAAAACTGGCACGAGACTCATTTGAATGCTCTCCATTTTTGACGAGTAAAATCCAGAAGAAGCTAACTATCCATCCTTTCATAAACAAACTTCAAACATAATCACATTGCTTTGATATGGCTATTCTTCATCATCTCGGAAATAACAACTGTTGTTGGGTTACTCTATTCTTTCGTTTTATTTGGTATCACAAGTATTTGAAGTGGAACGTAGTTGGTTGGATTGGAATAGCCTTTGTAACATAGAATTCAATTGTATAGGACTAAAAATTGGGAAGAATAAGACTTGCAAAGGGTATTGGCTTCGTATCGACTTGTGAGTCTTTCCTTATTGGTTTCAGAAAACCAAGGATATTCTTTGAAAGTGCAAAATTTACTTGTATGAATTGAACATAGTCTACCAACTTAAGCTATGCTTTTTTTGGATTGAAGATTCGCTGATTGAGGCTATAAAACTCAAAAGAGAAAAAGGTTGTCCTCAATCTTAAAGTCAAATGTCATATAGCTGGTAGCGTCAATCCAAACTTTTGTCAAGTGTACAATAAAATGTGCCTATGATTAGAACAACAAACGGTTAGAAATTGCACAATCATAGACCAAGAACTATTTGGTTTTGCTCGTGATTTCTCTATGAAAAATTTCTCATGCAGCTGTTACTTTTTTGCTTTTTTTTAGCAAGTGCATGTCAGGTAAAACTACGAGTCATATCTAGCAATGGCAAAAACACACAAGATCTTCCTGTTTGAAATTCTGCAAGTGCGTTCTAATCAACCATTGAAATTTTATGCCGTTTGACTGATATTCGCTGGTATGTTATGAACCTGCGTATATTGCTGGTGACTTTCTTCGAGGATAGAAAGAGTATCTGCATCTTTTCATCTCTGATGGACAAAAGTGGAGGTAAAAGCTGTCGTCTTTCTATGATTACAAGATAGCAATGGATCATTATGAAAGAGGAAGAGAAAAAGAAGTGCCCAAGATAGGTACATCTAAAGGTAAATGATGTACTCAATTTCAATTGAGATACAACAAAATACACAACTATTGTTTATCACAAAACATCCATCTAGTCACTAAAAGTTTCACTGTCGTCATCAGGAGACTCATATAAATGTAAGGGACCCCCTGCAATAACCGAAAACAAACCACATGGTTGAGCTAGTTTTTCATACTCTTCCTGAAAATGTTCCAAATCCATGACAGAAGAAGAAGGTTCAAAAACAATGTGAACGAGACCATTTTTGCCAGGTTGACCAACATCACCAAAGTAACTTCCTCCTGCGCCTCCTTCTCCATTAGAATACAACTCGTACTCGTATGGCTTCCCTCCAGAACCACCTCGTGAAGTTGCTCCATTGCCTCCAGAACCTCCAACTTTTACAGTAGGTCCACCTCCACTACCACCGGCGCCACCACTACCCGGACCACTCGTACTACCAGGATTACCACCTCTACCACCGCCACCAGACAAGTCGATGAAAGTCGAACTTTCTCCGCCTGTTCCTCCATATCCTGGGTTGCCTCCATCTCCACCTTTACCAACGAACAGCTTCTGCTTCCTTCCAGGTACTACAGTTGTATCTCCAAAAGCGGTGCCACCTGCACCACCACCACCTCCACCAACGGGAATAGCAGAACAAAGCGTTACGCGTGAACCTCCAGCACCACCTCCACCACCTCCACCAATAACCAAACCTCTGGCTTTGTGGACATGTTCAGGTATTGTCACGACGTGTAAACCAGGACTATCAAACGAAAGAGAAACTTCCGGTCGAACTTGTCCTATCTGAGTAAGGAAAGAAGCAGGAGCGTCATCTTGCAAAAAGGGTTCCAACGAGCTTTCTTCCAAATATCCTTGAAACTGAATACGATGACCTCCTTGAACAGACTCATAGACTCTTCCTTCTGTCAACGAAACATTTTCTAGAGGACACAAACTGGGAACAAAACTTGGATCCAGCAAAGTATCATTTACTTTCAAACTAGTTTCTTCAAAGCCAGATTCCCTACAATCTGGAATATCTGCTGTTATATTCACTGGAGGAAATAAGGTAGTGGAAAAGACCTTGTACAAGGTACGGTTATTTATCAAAACCTTACTTCCAAATATCACATGGATATCGGGTCCTCTGGGAACTTGTACTGTATAAATACTGGGATGAGAATAACCTATTTGGTGACATTCTCCAAGCATCAGAATACATGAAAGAACCAGAAAAATTCTCCAATACATGAAGAGAACTCCCAGGGACTTGAACCGAAATCATAGACTACTTTTCAATTGTCATTTGTTTGCTTCTTTCAACGAGACAATTGTTCAGTACGCGTGGATGTCTACCTGACGATCAGCTTCCTCTTTGGATTTCATTACTCTTAGTAAGCAGTCTCCCACTATTAGGGTGTTCATTCAATTCTTCTACGGAATGAGAAAAGAGTTCAACTTTGAATTAGCACTTGTTTTATGCTTGAGGACTATATCTTTGTTATAGAATAGAGAGATCATTTTTGATTGGTCAAGGAAATGAATAGGAAAAACAAACAATAAAACGTGTAAACGCTGCGATACGAGTGCAAAGTCATGCTGAGATTGATACACGTTGTTATCCTTTCGACATCAGCATCTTGCGAGTTCGTAGGAATCGCTCTAAGGACCACACTCTTGCAGTGTTCTATCAAGCCTTCTTTTGAATCATAGAGTCTTTTTGAAGACATTCCTTACTGGAGAAACTTTGTGACGTCCGTAATGAAGAAAGAGTGGAGTTTAAGTTGTCCGACAATTACTCAGTCATTAGAAGGAATCCTCCTCCAAACTATTATATCAGTAAAAAAGAAAAGTACAAGTAGATGCCAGGCCGACTTACTTTGAGAAAGTAAAGTTTGGTTTTTACTTTATTTGGCACTAGTTGTAGCAAGGAATCTGAAAAGACATGACTTTTACTGGTCTTTAATGTTTCCCTTGCCATCTAGAAGTCTTTTGATATTCTCTTTGCCAGTAATGTTCACCGAAAGGATCATCACCACTAAAGGAAACGCCGACGCTTTTAGCGTTGTGAATGGTTTTAGCTAAAAATCTGGCTTCATTCTCTTGAACTCTCTCATAGAGTTTAGTTACTGAGTCGTTCATAAAAGGGATATTGTGTATTTTTGTATAAGAGTACCCTCCATGTTTGAGGTATTTATGTGCCACGTAGCTCAATGTTTTTTTCCCTAGTCTGAGTTCCGCAACAAGTCTATGGGAGTCATTTGAAGTTTCAACATGTATCTCTGTTGAGTCAGTAGGTTTGTAAAAGTAGTGGTCCAAGTATTTTGATGTTTCTAGAAAACTTTGCACCTTTCAAAGCTTAGCTTAATAGTTGTCTTTTGGCTCGTGCTGTTTTATATTCGAGTGTGTTGAATATAATGAAAAGCTCCAGTTGAGTTTATTGAATGTTGCTTTCTTCTTGGTTAGTTACTATATTGCAGAATTCTGGCTTGGGAGCAACCTTTGTTGAATCCATTTTTGTGTGTCGATATTTAATGCTTCTTTAATCCGAAACTGTTGGTCGTTTTCTTTGACTCGTGCAATTGACTCTTGAGACTCTTTATACCTTTTCTATTCATCGAGTAAAAGACTTGTGTCCAAGTGTATGGTTTACTCCTTTTTGATGGTTACATAGAGATTATGTGTGAAGCTAGTATTGATATTCTAGAGCCAATATTAAGACATCCATTGAATAGTATCTCCAACACTAAGACACCGTTGTGATTCAGAATATTGCCACTTGATATATATATGATAGAGATATATAGCTACATAGATATATATAGAGAGAGAGAGAGAGAGAGAGAGAGAGAGAGAGAGAAGTTGAAATACTATTTTCATATCAAGAATGAGTCGTTTTCGTACCCTTTATTGATTCATTTCATTGTCATTCTATAGGGAAATATTCAAATTCTCTATCTGCAGGAAGCATGACCATAACAATGAGGATTTCACTGTTTTGGAACAATAAAATAAGAGCTAGAGTTGATTTATAAAAACTATAGCTGTTTCACAGATAAAAGTATTCAACACATTCTCAGAGGACAAGGGAGTGAGGAGTGGTTTATAATAGAGTGGACAAATTGAAAACAAAATAATAGTTGTGCCAGCGCAAGCAGCTTGAAATCAACAAAAAAGATAAACAACAAACACTCCAAAATTGAAAATGGTGGTCAAACGAATTGGAATTGAAAGTTGCTAATCATCCCAATCCATAGATTTTCAGTCCTACAAGAATACCCAATAACCAAAATGACACTGAAAAAGGGCTACATTGATCTTAAAGTCAACTCTCATTGACCAACTTATGATGGAAGATGTGACACTAGTATCCAAAGAACTGAAAGCATTTCGAGAAAGAGAGCAGAATATAATAAGAAGAATGACGAAGTATAGAAGACTCTATACAAAAAATTGAATTTAGTAAACTCAAATTATCAACCATTCCACTCAATAAAGAATGGTTACGACGAAAGAAACTGAACAAAATTCAATAAACTAATGAAACCAGTATAGATTTTAAGAAATATTAGACAAACACTATTTCCCTGGATTTCAAGAAAGAGTTCCTGAAAACTTTGCCAATGCGATGTTGTGATCAGCTTGATAAGCTTTTGCTCTCCTTTTTGGATTCAAAGAAGCTTATGACTTTGCATTGACTTTGGAGCATCAAATGTCTAAGTATTACAAAATATGGTCAAATGAAAGCAAGGTAGAAAAACTTTGAAAAAGCAGAATGCCAAGTATTGTCTCCATCCATAGGTATTCAATAGATGAATGAACTATTACCATTTTAAAAGATATTGTTTGAAACGTATCCATATGTCCAAGGAACAAATTGCCTTTTTGCTTGAGAATTATTTCCACTTTTACATTGTCAGCAGTTGTTCTTTGGCATTGATGGAATTGTTGCTTTTTGTCTTTTATGTATCGACCCTTGTTATTGTTGTTTATTGATTTTGAAATAGAATATCCAAGTTTTTTTTCAAAAAAAATATTCCTATGTTATCAGCCATGGAATGCTTTTCAATATTCCATAGTGATTTCGGATATTTCAATCTTTCTTTCCACACAATATAATTGTATGTTTATTTGATTCAACGATGTTCTTACTCTTTTGTTGTTTCGTAAAGGTCTTCATTTCAAATATCTTCAACTGATTCATCTCTTTCACAAACTAGTTGCATCATACGAGTTTCTCAAAAAAGGTACTTTTCTCATATTCCTTTGGTTTCCTACGCAACAATTTCTTGGAGATACAAATGAACTTTCCAATCTTACTCACATTTCTCTCTTTTTCAACTGCTTTAAGACTCATAGGAAACAAATTTTCGTATCGAAGGATGACTTGCAATAGTAGTTCCACAACATAGCTGATGATTGAAACGGGTATGATTCTACTTTTCATCCAATGAGTGAATCAATCAGCAACTTGCCTATTTTCTAGAGTTTTGTTATATTCCCTTAGACAATTCACTACAAGAGAATAATCTAGAAGAGCTGCTATCTTTCTTTCTTCTTGAATATTGTTTCGTGGCAAGTAGATTCAAATCAGCAAATGAAGCCCAATCCATTTCTAAGAGTTTTCAAATCAGTGTTCTGAAGTAGCTCACAACGCTTCCTTAAAAAGATAATCTTGAGTTATGTCAATCATTGGTCGACATTTTGATTTATGAAAGGGACATAAAATCTTACAATAGCCTATTCACCATCTTTGTTGGATTAGTCACAAGACACTGTGTTTTCATTCAAAAAATACAAAGAAAGTATCTTCTTAAAGATCCCTTTTTTCTATAAGATGATTTCATAAACTGCGATGATAACTTTTTTTGAGAAAAGAGTGGGACGTACAATGTATCTCTTACCAAGTTGAGTAGAATAGGAAAACGACATATAGCATGTATATTGCTTTTCTCTTTTTTTCCTGTCTTGTAAAATCCTCGAGTTGATCAACAATGACGTAAATCAGCAATTTTCTATCACCTGGAATTGATCATAATCCATCATTCCGTTGTCTTCAAAAGAAATCCAACAATGATACCACCTTGCGTTGAAATCAAAGCATATAAACATAGATATTTTCTACAAGTACTTGATTCTTTTTACAACAGAGATCACTGAATCTGTTTTCTCTCATATCACAACAATGGCTTTTTGGATGATGGATTTCCCAACTGGGATAAAATGTTTATTCCGCTGAATATTGCTTGCGAGTTGACGTTATTTTTTATTCTTTGTAGAGCAAGTTGGATAAAGTCGTTTCTCTTTTTTCTCATTTTTTTGACTAGTTCCTTGTGGAAATGAACGTTTCTTGTATTTGTAGACCTGTTTGTTTATACAAAACGTTGAGTTGTCCTTGAGTCTTGTATTACAAATATCCAAAAGAAACCTCCACCAGTGTACCTATCAGATAATATTTTGTAAAAGTATTCTGTCTAACGCGAGGAAGCTTTGTAGTGATTCACTTATTGAACAAGCTGATGGATGAGAATGGAAGAAGAGTAGGAGTTAACTGGAGCTGAACAAATCTTTCTTTGAATTTGCAGAGCTTTTAAAAGTTTTCCGTTCTTTTTCGTATTTGAAGAAATAATAGCCTTTCTTGGGTTTTCTAATTCCTAAAGCAGTGTTGTACTTTTTTAGCCAACTATTGAGGAGAGAGAATTCAACAATGATTCAAAAGCTATGCAAGTAGAAGATATGAAAAGAGAATCAATAGGATACACTCCATTCAACTGAATTGTATTTTTTTGAAAACATGTTTTCTCTTGACAGAATCCACAATATCAAATGTCACTATTAGTCCGCGAGTATTTTCAGAGAAAGAGACAGTAGTTATTGAGTCTACTATGTTATAGAAATTGGGTATTGATAATGCACTTGTGTGTAAGTCAATGTTGTTTCTGATATGAGAAGTCAAAAGAGAGATAGACAATGTTTCTGGTTTCTGATAAAACCACGAGATATTTTTGAGCCTTTTTTGCACCTTTTTTTGGTTTGTCTTTTGCTATCATCAACTTTTGTAGCTTTAGTGATAAACTGCTACTTGTCGTGATATCGTAAGAAAGGAATTTGATAATTGCTGAGAATAAAGCAGTGCTGTGCTTGCGGGTTTCTGCATTTCTACTAAATAATATATTTCAACTGGAGCTTTTGAATAGACTACAGAAGAGAATGACTTGGTTCATACTCTAGTTCCGTGTTTCGAAATGAAGCAAAAGTGACGTAAAAACTATTCCATAAAATACAGAAAATCTAGAGAGACGTCTATGGAACAAATTCTTCATGAACAATCTATATTGCTTGGAACTCTCATGACTACTCTCGAAAATTCTGAAAGAAACTTTCTTATATATGTGAGAATGGGCCATGTTCAATAGCTTTATACTCTCAAAGAGCATAAAAAACTTGTGAAATAAACATTGGCTTCCTTCCAATCCTCCTTGTACCCTATGAGAGTTACCATTATATTAGCATACGAGAATAAAAATATCGATAGTTGAAAAAGCCATATTGATCGTTCTTCTATAGTTCAAGTCATCTCAGTCCAAGCCCTAAAAGGTATGACATAGTCATCAGTTGATACAGAAAACAAGTTGGGTTGGTATCCTTTACTGTTTTCTCGTTGTTGTTGGTATGAATGGCAAACAGTCAATCATTTATTTATTTATATTTATACTCAAAAATAAACCACAGGTTATTCAATTTTATTTTAGCGATGGCGAGCTTGGATGAAAAGTGGAAAGCTGTGGACAACTTTAAGTCTGTTGTGGTAGATCGTGAAAGAGATGTTGTTCGAGTGACAAAAGAACTGTATGATCTTCATAGCAACAGAGAACAACTCAGGGTTGTAACAAGTAGTAACAACTATCGCTTGACCATACCATTCGCTCCGCACATGTTCGGTTCTGGCAAGACCACGTTTTATGTAACCTATTTGGAGTTGGTGCGATGGTTTAGTGAAACTTCCCTGTCGACTTTTGCTTGGAAACCTTTGAGGAGAACCTTTCTGGAGAAGCTGAAAAGGGCTTCGTTGCTTTACATCGACCTAAGGCTGCTAAAGCCCACTCTCCCCACCGAAGAAAAACGCAACCTTGAGTGGGCAGTCTACTATTTGTTAATAAAGGCTGCTTGTCTGCAATCAGGTCTTCCGCAACCAGACCCGGACGAATGTTTCAAGGAACTGAAACTTAGGACTGATGCTGTGGTTCAGAAATTCCGTTCAATCTTAAACATTCCTTCGGATCAATATCTTCTTATAGCATTTGATGAAGTTGGTGTCCTAGACGAAAGTCTCGACGAATTTCATTTCAAGAGAACCCACGACGGTAGAGTTCGACCATACAACGACTTTATCGGTATCATTAGTCAATTGTGCAAAGAACCCGACTTGTTTTTTATAGTTGTTGGGAAAAGTGAAGGCTTAAATATATATAATTACGTAGCTTCAGTCTCAAGAGTTCAGTTAGTATTTATTCCTCTTTCGCCGCTTGAGAAACATAGTATCGTGGAACATTTGGAGAAAAGTTCTTCCTTTTTATTCCCTGGGAGCCCAAAGGTTTCAGAAATTCTTTGTCACGAAGACTTCTCAACTAGTGAACTTGCAGAATTGTTGTTGGAATTGACTGGTGGTGTTCCTGGTTTACTTGTTCGAGCAATCAGTTACCTTTTGCTGTATAAATCATCCAACAACAATTTCTTATTATCTAAGGAAACCTTCTTGATCATAATGAATAGCTTTCTAGTAACAAATTATTGTGTTGCGACATTCTTACCTCGTCTGATAAGTCTCAGTGAGCAGCGTAAGCGCTTGTTAAGAATGCTTACGTTATTATCTTTGTATCGTATTCGATTTGATTTTGATGAAACTGTGCAAATAAGCTCAAATTCTGATGTGTTTTTGTTTGACCTAGTTACAGATATGTATCTCTATCGTCGATTGGTTATAGAACCAGACCGCAACGAACGCTATGAAGTGTTGATTCCCAAGTTACTGATTGAATATATTGACCAAGGCTTAAAGGATGATCGTTTAGAATGGTTACTTTTACAAACTCTCAAGTCTCAATCTGTTGATTTCTTTTATGAGTCGAAATGTCGAATTTTGGAAGGTCTTATTGCTACACTGTTTTATTTACATTTTTCTCGGCATCCTACAAACAGCTCAATGTTGTCTACTCTTGGTCAATTGTCTCGTGTTTGGAATGAAATGAATTTACAATTTTCTTCCGAATCTGCTGCTTATTATATGAAATCTATACATTATACCAGAACTGTATCAGGAACAGAGAGAATGACATTTGGAAGCAATGATGAATGGGAAAGGATAGTGGAAGAAATGTTAGAATTTGAAAAGATATATATTCCATTTCATTCAACTTTTCATAGTCCAGATATATTATTCAAGTTGCATGGAAGAACGAATGAGAAGAACTTGATGGTGGGTATTGCTTGTAAAGGCCGATGGAGTCGTAGTGGTATTCGATGGAATGAAATTTTGGAAGAAGCTCACAAGTTTTTAAAACCAGTGCATGATCAAGTATTGACTAGTCATCCTACATGGCATTGTATGTTGATTATTATGAGTACTCAGTTAGCAACCAACGTATCTGAGGACTTGAATTATTCTAGTCGTTGTTATTCATCTGGCGATAGTGTTGAAGATTTCGTGATTCCTCACAACTGTGAATTGGTTATTCTTTCTGAAGCTGATGTAGAAAACTTTATTGGCAAAGACATTTTATCAAATTTAAGGAACGCTTTCAAATCTGTGGATAATCCACATTCGAGAAATATTGGCATTTCAACCCTACAAGAAATAGTTTTATCTCTTTCCAAAAATATTTAGGAATATTTTGTTTTAATATCTGAGAAGTTTTACAGAGTCAAATACTTTCAAAAGTCTCCTACATTGGGTTATATTATGAGACTTTGTCAAATAACTTTATCAAGCCTGAGGAACTT